CACCCTCTCCTTTTCCTTTTCACTCTCTGCTGCCTCAGGGAGGAGTAGAGGTGATGGCCTTCTCACCCAGTTCTGGGGCAGGCTGAGGAGGAGGAGGCTGATGATGCCAAGAACAGGAAGTGAGAGGTTCAGGGAGTAGAGAGCCTGAGGACTTGGCTATGGTCAGCAGGCTGTTCTGGAGCCCAGGAGAGCTGTTGACATCCCTGCTGACCATCTGGTGCTGGAACCAGGGCTCCCTGGGCCCTGGCTCTGTGGCCCACTTGCAGCCACACCCTGCCGGGTGCTGCAAAGCACAGGGATTGGGGAGCTGGGTGACACAGAGAAGTGGTAAGCAAACTGCCCCAGAAACACTGAATAATAAAAATAGCCAGGCTGTTATATTTTTTTCTTCAGCCTTTGGCTTGCTGCTTATGCCGTTGATCTGAGCGTTGGTTCCAGTTTTTCCTCAAACAGGAAGGAAATGCCCATAGCGGTAGCATGTTCTTTATCCGCATCGCTGCCTGCGCCACTCTCTGCCTAGGGACTGATTTTTTCTTCTTCTTCTTCTTGTGACTTCTTTTTCTTTGGCTCTCTCTCTGGCCTGAGTGCAGGCATGATTACAGAAAGTCTAAAAACCTGAATGACCATTATGAGATTTTTATTTGAAAGCTACTCTTCTGGGGGGGCACAGTTTAGCCCCTGAACAGAGAGGATTGTGGTCAGGAAGCACACTGCCCACAAAGCCTAGAGGTGGGGTCCCAACCGTGAACTGGGTGCTAGTGGCCCCTGAGGACTACCCCTGACTTGCAGTAGGGCCACCAGGGCCTTGTCTCTATTTGGACCATGGGTGGGGTGGTAGGTGTCCCTGGAGGCCTAGTGATCAACTCCCGGATACCACTGTCCCCCTTCCCAGGCAGGAAGCTTAGCCTGGCCTCTGTCTCCCCCTGATGGCAGGTACAGAACTTGTTCAACATCCCCGGACTGCTCTCAGCCTTTGCCTTAAGAGGAGGAACCCCTCCCCTCTTCCCAATAACCATTCACCTCCCTCTTGACCCTTCCTCGCTGATCCCCGCAAATCAGCTTGGTTCTTAAGACAGAATCGTTTGGGCGTCCCGGGGCTGACACGAGTGTGAATCTTTCATTGGCTGTGTGACCTCTTGGGGCAAGTCATGTAAAAATGACAGGAGCGTCATCAATAAAATTAAAAAATAAAATAAAACCCATTTTGAAGGGTTGGTGTGTGGTATCAATGGCCTAGTATATGGAAAGTACTTTGTAGAGGACATGCTAAGTAGTGAGTCCTCAATTTGGTAATTATTGTTGCTATCATTACTGCCGCGGCCAGGGGTCCTGAGATAGACAGCGGAGTAGGAGTGGCGACGCTCCCAGATCCAGGTGGTCCTCGCGGAGCCCGGGAACTGGCAGCTCCTCCGTGCAGGACGGTCGGCTCCAGCCTGCGTGCTCACCACCCCCGCAGCACACCCCGCACCCGCTCGCTCGCCCTCACGCCCGCAGCCCCGATCAG